TTGAAGGAAGGCTAGTACTCTTGACTTGTTATTTGTTCAGTTAATCGGCGAGATTGCCCCTTATTTGTTTGTCCTGTATATCAGTGTGCTCTACAACAGGCTTATGCTGAAATCCGCCATACCATTGTGTGTATTGTTACAATTCAGTGAGCTCTTATGAACCCTGAATGTAAAAACCAAGCTAGGACAGAACTCTGAGAGAACTTTTTCATACAGATAGCTGTGCATGCCTACTAATTTACACTCTACTGTCTCGTTGTTGATATGGGAGCCCTGCATTTATATGTATCTCCTCTGTAACTTCAAGCTGTTTCACCTGTGGTTGGTGGCTCTCTAAACATGATGTAGCACCTGTTCTAGTCCTTGAAGTCCAATTTGTCTATTTCCAGATTACAGAGACTTATTTTTGCTTGGCATACTATCTCAAATTCTCGATTTGCCTTTATGGAATAAGGAACACAAAAACAGTGTGACATAGGCGCCTTGATTGTATGGTTGCTGCAGTAAGTGGAACAGAAAGGTTCTTTCGTCCTGTATGACTTGCTTTTGGTTGATGCCAATTTTCTTGAAACGGCATAGACATGACTGTTCATTTCAATTTATCAAGGTTTATTAATTCAGATATCCTATGAACCGAGCCGCAAATATACAGATTAGCATATAACCTTGTGTTCTTTTTGCAGTGGTCATTGAGTCATTTTATACATATGGAGTTTTACTTTATCTAGATCTAGCTAATATCTTGAGCTTCATCTACTCTCGGTAGGGTTTATGACCAGATGCCAGAGCCTCGGTGGGTGATCTCGATGGGCAGCTGCGCCAATGGCGGCGGATACTACCACTACTCATACTCCGTCGTGCGTGGGTGCGACCGGATCGTTCCCGTGGACATCTACGTCCCTGGGTGCCCTCCAACAGCTGAAGCTCTCCTGTATGGCGTTCTCCAGTTGCAGAAGAAGATCAACAGGCGCAAGGATTTCCTTCACTGGTGGGAGAAGTGAATTAGCACTTTGGACCATCAGGTTCATGAGGATGCAGCTCTTCTACGTATTGTTGGGACGTTGGGTTCTTTCGTTTCTGTTTGGTGGAATAAGCGAAGCATGTGCTTCCTGGTCCGTGGTAATTGGTAAGTAAGTAGCTTGTGTCTTGTGTGTGCTGGGTGGGTTCCTACCTTGCTTCACAGGCCATGAAAAAGCTACGTACTGGTGGTTGTGGTTGAACAGGTGATGCTTATGGTTTACCCCAGTCTGTACTGGTATATTGTATATCTGTACAGTACATGCTGGTGGTTGAACAGTTGATGCTTCTGGAATTGTATGTGTTCTATGCAATTGTGATAATGTACACTGTTGGGGTTGTGTGTAACAACTAACAAATACTTCCTCCGTCCCAAAATAAGTGTCTAAAGTTGAGACACTTATTTTGAGACGGAGGGAGACACTTATTTTGGGACAGAGGGACTATAACGAAAAAACTACAGGTCTTCCAAATATAAATAGGTCGGAAGACAGCTGACTGAGAGTTGTGGCTCTTAGTTCTTCGATCTTAACTTCAGTAGTTCGATACTGCTTTGAAAAAGCGCCTTGGCT